GTGCTGTTAGGTGGAGGAGTAGTGATGATGGCTGGGTGCTGTTAGGTGGAGAGTAGTGATGATGGCTGGGTGCTGTTAGGTGGAGGAGTACTGATGGAGACTGGGTGCTGTTAGGTGGAGGAGTAGTGATGATGGCTGGGTGCTGTTAGGTGGAGGAGTAGTGATGATGGCTGGGTGCTGTTAGGTGGAGGAGTAGTGATGATGGCTGGGTGCTGTTAGGTGGAGGAGTACTGATGGAGACTGGGTGCTGTTAGGTGGAGGAGTAGTGATGAAGGCTGGGTGCTGTTAGGTGGAGGAGTAGTGATGGAGACTGGGTGCTGTTAGGTGGAGGAGTAGTGATGGTGGCTGGGTGCTGTTAGGTGGAGGAGTAGTGATGAAGGCTGGGTGCTGTTAGGTGGAGGAGTAGTGATGATGGCTGGGTGCTGTTAGGTGGAGGAGTAGTGATGATGGCTGGTGCTGTTAGGTGGAGGAGTACTGATGGAGACTGGGTGCTGTTAGGTGGAGGAGTAGTGATGGAGACTGGGTGCTGTTAGGTGGAGGAGTAGTGATGGTGGCTGGGTGCTGGTAGGTGGAGGAGTAGTGATGATGGCTGGGTGCTGTTAGGTGGAGGAGTAGTGATGATGGCTGGGTGCTGTTAGGTGGAGGAGTAGTGATGATGGCTGGGTGCTGTTAGGTGGAGGAGTACTGATGGAGACTGGGTGCTGTTAGGTGGAGGAGTAGTGATGATGGCTGGGTGCTGTTAGGTGGAGGAGTAGTGATGATGGCTGGGTGCTGTTAGGTGGAGGAGTAGTGATGATGGCTGGGTGCTGTTAGGTGGAGGAGTACTGATGGAGACTGGGTGCTGTTAGGTGGAGGAGTAGTGATGATGGCTGGGTGCTGTTAGGTGGAGGAGTAGTGATGGAGACTGGGTGCTGTTAGGTGGAGGAGTAGTGATGGTGGCTGGGTGCTGTTAGGTGGAGGAGTACTGATGGAGACTGGGTGCTGTTAGGTGGAGGAGTAGTGATGATGGCTGGGTGCTGGTAGGTGGAGGAGTTGATGCTGGTAGGTGGAGCCTAGGAGTAGTGATGGTGGGTGCATTGAGAAACGTTATTTCCACGTTGATTCAATGTCAGTTTGCTATCTGGGTAGGTACACACACGCGAGAGAGATCACTTCCGCAGACCGAAGTGCCCGTACCTTCAGATCACTTAGCTAATCGAAAACATATTGAGGAAACCGAGACATAGGAGGAAGAATATTCAGGTGTGTTTGATTGCAATCTTCTTGCAGGCTATAATTTTTAATAACAATTTCAGTCTTGCGCGAGAACTCCGGTCTCATATGCGTAATCTTGCGTTATTTCCTTATCACTTCTCACTTGTGTTTGGTTGTGAAATGTAGATTGTGGACCAAGCAGAAGTTGTTGGCGATTCTTTCCATTGTAAAGTCATGCAGTGTGAAACCTCCTGTCGCTGATCCATCGTGTCCGCAACTGAACGTAACCCCAGATAGTCGTATTGTGTGAAAAGAACAGTGACCTGACTACTTTGAAAATCGTGCAGTGTGAACAGCGGGAAGCGGGAAGATTAAGCAAGGTGAGGCCAAAAATGTGTGATTAATAGCGGCCTAGGCTACACAAATTCGTGTTCGCTTCAGTCTTGTTATAATCAGATTCAGCGCGATCTTCATCTTCAATCCGCAGCGGTGCCGAGCAGAGTGCACGTCAGAAACAGAGAACAGTGTGTGTGTGTTCATCTGAGCCTCATTGGTCTGTCACTGCTCGTCAATGTCAGAATATTTGAGATGGCAAATCAAATCAAAGTAGGCGGGCTTTATGTTCACAGACGCTGCTGAGTGCGAATTTTAAAGCCTTGTTTATACTCGACGCGTCTGGACTCGAGCGCAAGTCTCCTCTGACTGCGGTCAAGTGCGAGATAAGATATCATGTAGCCTATGCAAGTAGCTAAACTTAACATTTCATATTTTACATTTTTTAGGTCAGAAATGTTAAACGAATGACAAAAAAATAATCAGGCAAATTAATATAGTTTTCTCTGATTTTGCCATTTTGAACTGAAAATAGGCTTATGTGATGTGACTCATGTAATGTAATAATTACTTTACTGTCATTGTGAGGGGACAAGAAACATTAACAAAGCCGTTTTCATCATTTTAGGCACAAGAGTAATAATGAATACATATTGAGAATATTTACAAATTGTAGTCTTTAGTACATTAAAAAGCTCAGCCTTTGGAGGGGAGGAGAAAGGGATGAAGAGACTGAAAAAAGAAAGTGATGGAGATGAGGAGAAAGCAGGTTTTGACAAATAATCTATCACTGACATGGTTTTAAAGCTATTTCTTATCCTTTTTATGGTCTTCAGACGTCTTGAAATGTAATGCACATATCAGCGAAATAAAAAATTGAAGCCCCTACCAACCTCAAATTTAGGACCCGATTATAAAGCCGTCTACGGCCCTGTATTAGGCATAAGATCAATAATGAATATTTCCTACATATTGTGAAGGCATTTAATAAACTTAATTACCTAGCTTTAGTAGCTTTCATTAAATAAACACATCTGAGAAAAATTATTCATAGACAAAATCAGTTGACCCTATGTTTACTTTCTTCACTGACAGACAAAAATGAAAAGCCTGTATCTGTCAAAGCTTAGCTTTAGGAGAAAACTAAGAGCAAAAGAAGGTGATGCTGATGAGGAGAGAGAAATAATCAGCTGCCCACCATCTATTTTTTTTTTTGGTCTTCAAAACATCCTAAAATGCACATATCAGAGAAATCAGAGAAAACTAAATTTTCTCGGGGAAACCCTGAACCCCCCTAAATAACCTACCTCACATTCCGGACCACAATAAATCCCTGCATTTGCATGGTAATGAAATTGGTTAATAGTGAGCATTAGATCCTAAACTAAAGTGTACCTTATTTATTATTATTTCAAATAATACCCTCATTGAATACCCTCATTCTCATAAAATGAAAATCCGAGTGACGCCCCTCATGATGGGTGAAGCAAGAGCACATGACACAATTTTCACGGCAACTAGATCAACATTGTGAACAGAACTTCAGTGAAAACAAATGATTGTGCAATATGATAAAAGCTTATTTTCCCAGCAAACGATACCATGAAGAATGTGAATATTTATCCAAGTCAAAAACTAAAGGTAAGCAAGTATTGTTGTTAACTTTTAAAGTTAAAAAAACATAAGGCTTCATTATTCTAGGAGGATAGTTCCCTCATTTTTGGGAGCCGAGGTTATGTCAGTAACTGGAAACTTCATCAAGGAAACCTTAACATGTGAATGACCAGTAATAAATGAATGACGTGATCCATAAAATCAATGACGCACTTAAACGCACTTATGCAATGCTAATTTGCTGAACTTTGACTTAAAAGTTATATACTGTTTAATTGTGTTCGTGTTTGGGAAAAAAAGGTTACCGCCACGTGCATTATTTTTCAGATATGTACAATAAATTAGCACATGTTATGAATGTTTGCAGCTTGAAAACACCTAGGCTGAAAATGATTGCTCTATTTAATGCCTTATATTTTTAATAACCAACTTAACTTAAACTGTACATTTTTATATATGATGTTTGTATTAGTAAGTTCAATATTGTACTCTCATATTTATTAGAGCGCTACATCTTTACACATTGAAAATAATTATCTTGTTAATGCTTGTTAGACATTTGAATTTACTAAAAATCATAGGGCCCTATTGCAGAATCGTAGAATCAAGTGTTTTATGCATTCATTTGATTACCACCGCAATTTATATTAAATCATGCATTTTTAAATCAAAAATTAAAACACAAAACACGGTAAATGACATAGTTTTGAATATTACACATGCTTTTTGATTAGCGGCATTGCATTTAAACATTAAGCTGGAGTCCAGAAAAATAACACTAAAGAAATACAGAAATTTTAATTCAAACTATTTCTTAGTGACCTACAGATCCCAGCAACTTTATGCATATGTGTGAATCTTGAATCGTGAGTAAGTGAATCTTTTAGCATTAAATTCTAACGTAGCTTGTGTCCTCATTCTTTAATCTTGTATACAGACCAAGGAAAGGTAATCGACTAACATCAAGATGTGTGATTTAAAACCTTTGCTAGTTCTCACCAATTAAAATGCTGTATCACTGATCTTGTGGATGCTTGTGGAATGTTTTATTTTGGTTTCAAAACAACATAATCTGTATAATCTATATAATCTGTATTAAATCTCTGTCCCTCTCATTTGTTTTATGTTAACACTTTACCAAAAACATTTTTAAGATGATTATACATTGTAATAGATTTTCACAGTGCAATAACAAAAAATATAATTGAAATAGTCACATATTTTGTAATTGAATTAATCAAATTTGCAATAATTTTAATGTTTGTATGTGTTAAATAATTGTAATAAACCTGGTTGCTACTGTGTGTTGTACACTAGGTGGTCATGTAATGCCACCGTTTCATTTCATACAAACCTTATCCATTATCTGAGAATTATTTTTGGAGAGAAATGTACAACTAATATACTTTTTATTATTATGCAAAGCATTACATAAATTTATAACATACTTTCCATGTGTCCACATCAAAACCTAAAGCATGATTACGTTCTGACAGGTGTTGTTTAACTCCCAATAGTTTAAAATATCTATAAATGCCAACATCAATGCATCTTTTTCATTTTCTTCCTTTGTTCATCAATAATAAAGACTTTATCTGCAGCTAGTACTAACTCAGACAGAAAATCAAAAAATTATTTCATATTTCACAAACACGACTGTTTTCCACTAAGAGCACCAAGACTACCCTTTTTTTTTTGGTCCGGACCAAACGAACCAAGCCAACCAAACTACACATGTGAACACACCGTGACTGCCATAAACTCTATCACTAATTGGATTAAAGTCATATGATTGCATAAGTGACTCTTGTATAACTCTATAACTGATTGTATATCTGACACTGTTGTATAACCGATTGTATAACTGACATAACAGCCATGGTGGTTATAAAGAGCTTTCCCCACTCTTCCACACTTACAACTGACACGATGAAGGTCCTAGAGGGATTTCTTTCTCTCGGTTTGTTGGCTGTTTTTTTGAGCTCCAGTAATGCAAAGCCACAGAAGTTCAGGATTCCTGTCCATCAGAAATCAGCTTCTGCAATCTCATACCTGAAGGTCTGGGAGAAATTCAAAGGTCAAAGCGAAGCTGAGCGTGATGAGTTTCTGAGTGGCTCGTTCCCAGTTGATTTTGAATGGTCTGTCTCCAGTGAGAGTTTCAAAGTGGAGGGTGGATGGGCTGAGCACGGGAAGGGTGAGACCATATGGGATCGTTTTAGCCACGAGGGCCATGTCTTTGAAAACCAGACCACTGATTTGGCCTGTGATAGTTATCATAAGGTAGATTATGATGCGTATCTGCTTAGGGGAATGATGGCACCTAATTATCAGTTCTCAATTTCCTGGGCTCGCATTTTCCCCACTGGTCGCAGAGAAAGTTTGGTTGAAGAGGGGGCTGCTTATTATGACAAGATGATTAACACACTTCTACAATCCGGCATCGAGCCTACTGTTACCCTGCATCATTGGGACCTTCCCCAAGCTCTGCAGGACTCAGGAGGCTGGGTTAATGACTCTATTGTGGAAGCTTTCAAAGAATTTTCTGACTTTTGCTTCTCTCGTTATGGAGACAGAGTCAAAACATGGATCACTTTCGGCAGCCCCTGGGTAGTGAGCAACTTGGGGTATGGAACAGGGGAACATCCCCCACGTATGAATGACCCAATAATAGCCTCTTACAAGGTGCGTTTGTCAATCAGAAAAAGTACCATCTTTTATATGATTTTATAAAGTATATATTGGCAATGCTTTGCTTGTTTTCACAGGTGACGCACAATGTTCTGAAATCTCATGCTGAAGCCTGGCATATTTATAATGACAATTACAGGACGCTGTACAGTGGAAAAGTGGGCATTGCTCTTAACTCCGATTGGGCAGAGCCAAGGAATCCCGCAAGTGATCAGGACGTTGCAGCAGCAGAGCGTTATTTGAACTTCAAGCTGGGCTGGTTTGCTCACCCTATATTTGTAGATGGTGACTATCCAGCCGTGCTGAAGAATCAAATAGAGCTAAAGAAAGCTGAGTGTGGTGTAGAGCTGGCAAGACTCCCCGTCTTCACTGAGGCAGAGAAACAAAGAATCCGAGGCACAGCTGATTTCTTCGGACTGAATCACTACACTTCCCGACTCATTGGCGAGAGCTTGGGTAGATGTGACGCTGGACCCAACAATGTTGGGGACTTCGAGGCTTATTTGGACCCCACATGGCCAACCACAGCTAGTGACCAGATCCAGTCTGTTCCATGGGGGCTTCGGCGGTTATTGAACTTTATCTATTTAGAGTACACATCCATCACAAACGTGCCCATCTATATCACAGGAAACGGAATGCCAACTGAGAACTATGGTGATCTGCTCAATGACAATGAGCGTGTCGACTATCTCAAAGCTTACATTAATGAAGCAATGAAAGGTCAGTATTAAATGGCAACTGGTCAATTTTTTAAAACTATTATTATATTAATATTTTTAGTGATAACAGGTCATTCTGTGTGAAATCAGTGAATTTGTGACCTAATTCTGTCGATAAGGTATTTCTTGGAGATTCTAACATTTTTAGATTTGAAGTATTCATTATTTTGATAAAATGCCTTATAGGGAAGCCATGTATAGAGTATCTGATATCTCAAAAAGTTTGTTGGTCATACTTGCTTATCAGGATAGCCTGGGACAAATATCTTTTTGCATGGAAACAGGGCTCATGTAGACCTACTTTTAAGCCACTTTCAAGATTCACCTAGTTAGTCAACACTGATAAATGATCAAATATTTTTCTCACATCACACATCATTTTACTCACATCACATTTGAGCTTTTACGCTTAAAACGTCTCCTTGTGTTTTTCATGGATGTAATTAAGGCTTCAATGTCACCCACATCTGCAACTGTTTCATTTTTTACAACTTAATGGGCCACATATGAAAATATTTGCACCCTGAGATGACTTTTAACTGTGTATACTTGAAGGAATCAGGTTTGTCTATCCAAAAATCATAATTACAGAATATAATATACACTAAACATGGTGTTTATTGGCTTGGGAATAATGAATCCTTCATGGAGCTGAAGATATATGAAATATATGTTAGATTCTGCAATAAATTTACAGACCTTAGTTTTAGGTCACCAACAACATCAGATTTTACACAGACTGACCTTAAAACAATCTTCTACTAATGTAACAAAGCCCTTGCCAAACCTTAACATCAGACTATATACAGTAATACAAAATCACTATCTACTAACTACTTCTTTCTACTACAGCTGTGCATTTGGATGGTATTGTCATCCAAAGGTTTACAGCCCAGTCTCTGATGGATGGTTTTGAGGGTCCTCAAGGCTACAGTCAACGATTTGGATTGCACTATGTAAACTTTGATGATCCTGACAGGCCAAGAATCCCCAAAGCATCGGGATATTACTATTCAAAGGTGATAGAGCATAATGGATTTGCTGAGACTCCAGCAAGCTCTAAAATGCAAATCTCTGGAAATAAAATTGAGAGCACAAAACTTCCTAGTCTGCCACCATCTGAAGTTCCTTCAAAATCCAAGGTTGTTTTTGAAAAGTTCTCCCCTCAGACCAAGTTTGAGAGACAGCTTTATCACTATGGGACATTTCCAGAGGGATTCCAATGGGGTGTCTCTTCTTCAGCATATCAGGTAGAAGGTGGCTGGAATGCAGATGGAAAAGGACCAAGTGTTTGGGATACTTTCACTCAAACACCTGGTATGATCCCAAACAATGACAATGGTAATATTGCATGTGACAGCTACAATAAAATAGATGAGGATCTGTACATGTTGAGAGCCCTAAAATTGCAGACTTATAGATTCTCCTTGTCATGGTCTCGAATTTTTCCCAGTGGGAAAAAATCTTCTCTTAACCAGAAGGGTGTGGACTATTACAACAGGCTCATTGATGGTCTCTTGGCAAACAATATCACACCCATGGTGACTCTCTACCATTGGGACCTGCCACAGGCTTTACAGAACATCAACGGTTGGGACAACCCCGAATTAATTGGCATATTTAATGAATATTGTGACTTCTGTTATGCAACATTTGGAGACAGGGTGAAGTTTTGGATCACATTTAATGAGCCCCAGACAATTGCATGGTCCGGATATGGACTAGGTCAGATTCCACCTAACGTAAACCAACCTGGAGATGCTCCATACAGGGTTGCACACAACCTCCTGAAAGCTCATGCACAAGCTTATCACACCTATGATGTGAATTACAGGGCATCTCAAGGAGGTCTGGTATCCATTAGTCTAAATGCCGAATGGGCAGAACCCCTGAACGTCAACATCCCTCGAGAGGTGGTGGCAGCTGATCGAGCCCTTCAGTTCCAACTAGGCTGGTTTGCACATCCCATATTTAAAAATGGTGACTACCCTGATGCCATGAAGTGGCAGGTTGGCAACAAGAGTGAACTTCAAGGCTTGACAGAATCCCGCCTGCCTTCTTTTACTGACGAAGACAAAGCCTTTATCCAAGGAACGGCTGATGTATTCTGCATTAACACATACACAACCAAAGTCGCGCGCCATGTGACCAGCACACTTGACGTTGAGTCTTATCAGACTGACCAGGATGTTGAGAAGGACTTTCCTGAGGGCTCTGAAAATACCGCTGTTAGTCACCAGAAGACTGTTTCTTGGGGACTCAGAAGACTTCTTAACTGGTTAAAGGAAGAGTATGGAGACCCTGAGATTTACATAACAGAAAATGGTGTGGCTACAGTCCCTGCCATGACGGTTGATGACACCGATCGAGTATTCTTTCTTAAGACTTATGTTGATGAGGCTCTTAAAGGTATGTAAACAATGGTTCTCAGTGCATACACACGTATTTGTCTGCTTATAAAGGGTTTTTAATGCAAAAAGTATTAGTGAAAATGGCTTAATGTTTGTAATGATGTTCAATTGTACATTTGACACATTTAAATGTTCTGTCTTTTTAGCACACAACCTGGATGGAGTTCGTCTTAAGGGTTATATTGTTAGCTCTCTGATGGACTCATTTGAGTGGCTAAATGGTTACTATCCTAGCTATGGACTTCACCATGTGAACTTTTTCCTTTCAAATCGGGCAAGAACTCCAAAGCGCTCAGCTCACCTCCTTTATGATATAATAAGAAATAATGGCTTTCCACTGCCAGAGGAGGAAGAAATGTTATATGGACATTTTCCAGAGGAATTTATGTGGAGCACAGCAACAGCTGCATATCAGGTACAATTCATAAAAAAATTCATTAAAAAAGAATTAATTTAATTTTAATCACACATATATATATATTAATCATATATTTGCTTAAAATTATGGTTATGTAAAAATATTTCATGTTATGCTTTAAAACCACAGATAGAGGGAGCCTGGAGAACAGATGGAAAAGGTCTCAGTATTTGGGACAAATATGCGCACACTCCTTCAAAAATAGCTAAAGACGACAATGGTGACATTGCCTGTGACAGCTACAACAGAATCGCTGATGATGTCGATAATGTCAAAAAACTGAGGGTCGGCCACTACCGGATGTCTGTTGCATGGGCCAGAATTATGCCAGATGGAACAAACAGGAAAATTAATGAAGCTGGACTCAACTACTATAATAGGCTTGTAGATGCACTTTTGGCAGCTAACATCCAGCCACAGGTAGACTAATTTTTTTGCATGGTAAAAATGCTCTCTGGTAGCTTAAAATAATTTGACAGTCTATTAATCATTTTTATCTGGCAGGTGACCTTGTATCACTGGGATCTCCCACAAGCACTCCAGGATGTTGGTGGCTGGGAGAATGAAACGGTTGTCGATAGGTTCAGAGAGTATGCTGATGTTGTGTTCAACAGTCTGGGGGACAGAGTGAAGTTCTGGATCACTTTAAATGAACCCCTGAATGTTGCTTTGGCAGGATATGGCTATGGAACTGCAGCACCAGGTATCATTCGCCATTCAAATTATACCTTTAATTTTGGTAAAATGTGATTAAGCCTCCAGTTTCTGTGTTCACATCTAATAATACAAAATGCAGTTATTGATGATGGTCTATCTGTGTACAGGTATAAATTCCAGACCGGCCACTGCACCATATGTTGCGGCACACAACCTCATCAAGGCTCATGCTGAGGCCTGGCATCTGTATAATGACAAGTATCGTGCAAAATATGGTGGCCTTATCAGCATCACTCTAAACTCTGACTGGGCAGAACCAAGAAACCCATACAAACAGGAAGACGTGGATTCTGCCGTGCGTTATCTTCAGGTATGGATTTGTGATTCAACCATACGAACAGTGTGTAACCATGTGCATAAATAAACAATGAGCCACTCTTCTTCTTGAAACAGTTCATGCTGGGTTGGTTTGCTCATCCTGTGTTCAGAGGAGATTACAGTGCTATAATGAAAGACAGAATTCGAGAGAGAAGTTTGGCGGCTGGCCGACCTCAATCAAGGTAATTCACGTTATCTTGTTTGATTGGAATTTAAAGCTTTGTATTAAAAAGTTTCAGTGCTTATAAATGCTTTCACGTTTGCATTTCACATCTATCAGGCTTCCAGAATTTACCCCTGCTGAAATAGCGAGGATTAATGGTACTCATGATTATTTTGGATTCAATCACTACACCTCTGTCTTAACCCATTACTTGGACTACAAAGACTTCGAGGACTATGATGCAGACAGGTAGCCTTTTAGTTTTATTCGGCAAATTCATTCTGTGTCAGGTCCAGTTTGTTTAAAACCTGCATCAATGTTTATTATGTCAAGTCAGATTTATGTGTATAGCACTTTTTACAACACACATTGTTACAAAGTAGCTTTAAAGAAAATCATAGTGTTTATGCCTTAGTCACATTTAGAAGATTATTGCTGTGTGATTATATAGCTTACATTTTGTAAAGATACTATAATGCAGTTGAGATTTCCTATGTAATATGTATCACCCTAAGTGAGCGTACTGTATGTATGCAGATAAAGTACTGACATACTTATATTTCCAACTTTTTTTTTAAAGAGATGGCTAATAATATTGTAACATTTTGCAATAAAATGTTAAATTATGTTGCCATCTACTCCAGGGGTGTTGGAGTTGTATCAGATCGCACATGGCTGGAATCTGGATCCTTCTGGTTGAAAGTAAATCCTGCGGGATTCCGAAAAGTTCTGAAGTTCATCAAAGATGAATATGGAGACCCTGCTGTTTACATAACAGAGAATGGCGTATCAGAACGAGGACCAATAGATCTGAATGATGTCCCCCGTATCCACTACTATAATACCTATATCAATCAGGCCCTGAAAGGTAATAAGATCGAAAAGGACAACATTAAACAATAGATTTCCGTGATGCGTTTCCATGCATTATTAATATTATTGTTTGCTTTCAGCGCGTTTGCTGGATGGTGTGGACGTCCGTGGCTACACTGCCTGGTCACTAATGGACAATGTGGAATGGGGGGCAGGTTTTGAAGAAAGATTTGGCTTTTTCTATGTAAATCGATCAGATCCCAGTTTACCACGTATTCCTAAGGAATCTGTCTTTAGCTATGCTAAAATAGTTCAATGCAATGGCTTCATTAGCCCAGGAGAAAGTCCCCATCAATGTCAGATCCTTGAACCTTAAGGTACAATAAATCTATATGTCTTCTATCTCTCTGACTGCTTGTCTGTCTATAAATAACTGAGTCGCTTCTGGGTTACAGATACTAATCCTGCACCACCTCCTGGTGAAGAGCTGTTGGACAGTCCTGATGCTAACACAAGAAACAAAAAACGTCCAGTATTTGAACACATTAACCTGGATAAAACTGACAATTTCTGAACATAATGTGCTTAACATGTCTTATATATAATTACTTCAATTTCAAGTTGTGTAAATATAATGAAGTAAAAAGATTATGTAATTCATAAAGCTGAAAAAAATAAAACAAGAAATAAGATTCATGCTTTGGTAAACAGAATTAATAATTAAAGACATGTTTGTATGTATGTTGTAATGGGATTTTTCATGAAGTTATGTACAGTAATAGTAACTGTATTTTTTATTGTTTAATTGTATTAATAAAAATAAGAGAACTACTAATAATTTGTATCTTTGTTTTTTGTACTGGTGGTGTAGATATATATTTTTAAGATGGAAAATGTGGTTTTACAGATACAATATATGTGAATTTCAAATGAAAGATTGGTATCAAAGAGCACAACCAGGATCCTAACTGACAACCAAGACTGCAGTCAGGTTGGAACCCTGATGAGGACAACGACCATGCAGATGAGCTTTCCTGAGACGGTTTCTGACAGTTTGTGCAGAAATTCTTTGGTTATGTAAACCGATTGATGCAGCAGCTTTCTGGGTGGCTGGTCTCAGATGATCTTGGAGGTGAAGATGCTTGAGGTCCTAGGCTGGTTACACATGGTCCGTGGTTGTGAGGCTGGTTGGATGTACTACCTAATTCTCTGAAATGCCTTTGGAGACGGCTTGTGGTAGAGAAATTAACATTAATTTCACAGGTGACTGCTCTGCTGGACATCCCTGCTGTCGACATGCCAATTACACACTGTAACGTTTTCACACTCTCTGATTTTTAGTTTGGTTTGGTTCTTTAATGCTGGGGTGCCAGACAGCCCAGACAGCAAACTGACATTGAATCAACGTGGAAACGACGTCTCTCATGACATTGAAACAACGTTGATTTTGCTCATCGAATTAACGTTGAACCAACGTCGGACGCGGCATTCTTCAAAGCTAAATGAAAATCGAAAATTGGTTTGCTTTCATAACGTTGAAACAACGCGTTGATTTCTAGTTGATTTTCCGTTAGTTTTGAAAGAATGACGCGTCTGACGTTGGTTCAACGTTAATTCGATGAGTAAAACAATGTCAGATCAACGTTGTTTCGATGTCATATTTCCACGTTGATTCAATGGTAGTTTGCTATCTGGGAGGGTTTCTGTCAATATTTTAGTTCAGTTTGCAAAAACGTTCAAAGGTCTTGTGCAGTCTAGTTTGTCTTTCACAAAACCCTTCACTTATTTGAGAAAACAATTGCCATAAAATAATATTCACACAACACTCTTAAATAGACCCCTTCTGCATTCAATATGACAGACAACTCAAATTCATTGAATTATGTATTTTAGCAAATCACAACACAGTGTCTCCAATGGCCCCTTTTTTCCCTCTTTTTTTAGTTTGAGTAGAAAAAAAAAAAAAAAAAACCCAGTTCAAAAAGTTGTTCCACCACAGGTTACAAAAAAACAAACAAAATGAGCTCAAGTCCCAAGATGTTCAGTAATTCCAACAGTTCAGTTCATATAGTTCAATAATCCACCAGTCAATAAGGGAAAAAATATATATAAATAATTTCCCCAATCAAAAACAGTCAACAGTCAAAAAAGTCAAGTCAAAACAGTCATCCAGAACTGGCCTAGTGTACTCACGAATCCTTCTTACTTGAAAGCTCTGGTCCGGTCCACGCTTTACTGGAATTTCCTAGACGTGCGCATACAGGCTGGAAGCTCCCAATCCATCATTTCCGCCCAGATTTTAGAACTGCTCACTCGTACTGTTAGCCTTGCAGCGTCTCAACGACCATCCGCTAATCCATCATGACGAGGATAAAATGCTTCACTTTTAATAATCCAGATCGCGATTGATTAGTTTGCAGCCTTAACACTCTTTTTGCCCGGATAAAACAATAAATCACGGGAGTCTTCAAGCGGAGCTCCGCGAGGTAACTGACTTCCGACCACCGAACTCAACTTCCTTGAACGACGCACGTCATCCCAATAAAGGTAACTGGCTTCCGACTCGTCATCATCTTCGTCGTTATCTTATGACGACCGCATATTCACATATTATATACACTATATACATTGTTTTGACTTTATTTTTGTGGATAATGAACTTGGATTATTTACTGAGGAAAGATGACTGATAAATCTAGGGTAAATAATTATTTAATTGCTTATTTAATGACGACATCGTCACAACACAACCTCAAAACTTGCGACATCTGTGGCATTGTGCTGTGTGATAAAACTGCACATTGACTATGTTTACATGCAGCCAATAACCCGTTCAAAACCTGGATATTAGCAATAACCCGGTCGCGAACGGCCATGTAAACACCGGCAAAAACCTGAATATGCACATATCCTGGATTTTAAAAACCGGCCCAGATAGCAAACTGACATTGAATCAACGTGGAAACAACGTCTCTCATGACATTGAAACAACGTTGATTTTGCTCATCGAATTAACGTTGAACCAACGTCAGACGCGGCATTCTTCAAAGCTAAATGAAAATCGAAAATTGGTTTGCTTTCATAACGTTGAAACAACGCGTTGATTTCTAGTTGATTTTCCGTTAGTTTTGAAAGAATGACGCGTCTGACGTTGGTTCAACGTTAATTCGATGAGTAAAACAATGTCAGATCAACGTTGTTTCGATGTCATATTTCCACGTTGATTCAATGTCAGTTTGCTATCTGGGGGGATATTATACCTGGGGTACCCCTTTTCTAACCCGAATTTTTGGTCATGTAAAAGCGTATCGGCATATCCCCATAGTGATTTGTGTTCTGCGCATGTTCTATTCGCAAGGAATCTTGGTCTTTTGAGTAGAGAAACTTCTCGGCGCATACAAAAATCTGCGTTTAGTATACCGGAAGTAAACATGGCGAGACCAGGCGAGACACAGCACAGCATACTTTTGGAGCGAGGTAAGTTACGTTACCAGCATCAAAGCGCAAACAAAGGTGAAAGCTATCTGCCCTGAACTATTCATTATCCTCGTGCTACTGTTGTTGTTGTCTTTGGATACAGGAAGAAGAATCGGAAATGCGTCTTAAGGTTGTCCATACGTCTAGACGCTAACCGCGCGATGCCGTTTACATTGGGGTATTGCAATTCGATGTATACAGGAGAAACTCTCTGCTCACGCATGTAAACGGGTTATTCCTAATGTTTCAAAAACCCGAATAGTGATCTTAACCCGACCATAACCCGAAAATTGGCTGTATGTAAACGCAGTCAATGTAGAGAGTGGCCTTTTCATGTGGCCAGCCTGAGGCACACCTGTGCAATAATCATGCAGTCTAATCAACATCTTGATATGCCACACCAGTGTGGTGGATGGATTTTCTCGGCAAAGGTCACTAACGCAGATTAAAACAGATTTGTGAACAATATTTGACAGAAATACGCCTTGTGTACATGGAAAATTAGGGGCAAAAACAAAAGTATTGCATTTATATATTTACACATTCATACATTGAGCACGAGTTTAACTAGTAGCTACAATGTGAAGTTTATGCAAAAATAATATGAGTGAAAATTTCTTTCCTTAAAAATATCTCATCTTCACATCGTAAGGTAAATCGAGGTAAATCCAAGGTAAACAGCACAGCACAAACACAGTCTTCCGAACTCAATGAAAAGAAGACTACTGAAGTCTCTGAGCATTTACAGGTTCACGTTACTTCACATGAATATATGCATGTAATTCGATTGTGCACAAGTGGGTTTGGTCACAGAGCTAATGAGGACACATTTGAGAAACTGTACATCTCATTAGTAAACAGCAATGCTTTCCAGGCATGATCTTTAACCAAAATATTGCATGCATACAGTACATGTGCTTTCTGGGTAGTATTACACTTTAGTCAAAATTCATTTTAAACCATCAATGAGTGTTTGTATTAACCCTCTGAGACCTAAGGGTATTTTTACAATAAATTTTCCGTCTGGTGTCATTTACTAAAAAAGCTTGTAAAATATCAACCCTTTGGTGCACAGACAATTGACACACCTCTTTTTTTTCAGGACAAATTGAACTTTCAGCATATTTGTGTTACATTGATGTCACCTGAATGTAAAATAAGTTATGGGACCATAAAGACAAATGAAAAAATAAATCGGAAATGGAATCACTCAATTATTTATTGAAATCACACACAAATAAATAAAAGCTAAGCAATTTTCCTCTGGAAAATAGTTTGTTCATGTCTTTGGAGTCCTGGAGCACAGGAATAAACATTATAACTTGTACAGAACAAAAAATATTGACATTTTTCCAAAAGAAGTCCAGGCGTTTGGGGCCTCATGAAATTCACTGGTGCCAAGCCTCAAAACAGTTCCTATCAGCAATCACACAGAGGGCCACATCACAGGTTTTGCATTTCTATTTTATTTATTCTTTTATTTATTATGTTCTTTTTATTCTTTTATAATACATTTATACTACTATAATACTTTTTTACAGTAAATAAATAAATGGCACTTCAGCTGGGTCTATCCTGGTAATCTAGTTCCTCATCTGTCAAAAAGCTCTGTTCTCCTGAAAATCCTTCATCCTGCAATGCACCAAAATAGACCAGCGCTTTATTTACGTCCATTTCGCTGTGTTTCTCTGTGAATCGCGCGTCTCCGTGAGTCTCTCTATCTCTCTACACTATATCAGCGCTTGGTTCATGCGTAATGACGCACACCAATGTTTACAACGGATCAGCCTGTAATTGGTCAAAAACCATCACGTGAAAACATCACGTGATATCCAGGATGTCCGCTAGCATCAAGCTAGCGGCAAAAATGACCGAATATTTATGAATTATGGGCTTCAAGATTATCAAAGTTTGACATAAAGCGTTTGGATTTATTGCTGAAAACCTCTGAAAGGAAGCACAAGTTCCAGGCTGGATAGAAAACCTTCTGTAAAGGCTAGAAAGACCCGAAAGACACCCCCGTGATGGCTAGCTCGTTAGCTTTCTGCTGGAAAAAACGGTAAGAAAATCGATAAATCTGTCATCGAGTTATGTAAACATTTATCGGAGGTGACGTGTGGCATCGTCGACGACGCCGTCGGGCTCAGGGGGTTAATTTCCGACAACAAGCTAATACAGATTTTAGGCATGTTAAAATATTAGCATTTCATAAGCAGCTAATATCTACACCTTCTAAACATGTATAATGTAAACATTCTTTATACATATAAATATACCCCAAATCACATAAAAATCACACACAAACTATATACCATCGTAATCGTTTGTTTATTCGCTTTTTGTGTCGTGTGTAGAA